TTCCATTCCATTCCATTCCATTCCATTCCATTCCATTCCATTCNTTTGTTCTCTAGATTCCATTCCATTCCATTCTATTCTATTCTATTCTATTCTAATCATTGCCAAATGCCCACGTAATTTTTCGGGCTGTTTCGGTAGCGCTTTGGTTCAATTTGAATTCGTAAAGAAAACGTGCCCAAAAATCGCTTAACGACATCATTTAGTTATAAGCAGAAAAGAGGCAAAAAATTAACGTTGTTTACTATGTCATCCCAAGTCGGTATATTCGATGGTTTTATTATCATTGCAAGTTAATAAAAAATGAAAGCACAAACTGAAAATATTTTCTTGGATAAGCAGTTAGTGTGAAAAAAATAGCAAAAAGTTGATGAACGATTATCGTAACTTGACTAACTGCAAAGAAAACTAATAGGAATATGTGAAACAAGTAGAAAGCATGTACTTATATAACCCATTCATTGTATAATTCTCACTCATAACTTGCACCTTTCTATGCATATCTCGTATTTGTGGAATATTTTATCTATAAAACAAATATATCATATCCTCCTCATCGTTATGCTCGCTGTAAAACTCTTGAAGTGTATCCAATCGTAGTCGCGTATCGGACATTGACCAACCGTAGCCGGGACACCGTACATTATGATAATGACCTCAGAAACGTATAAACAATACAAACACTTTTTTCTATCCAATTCATTCCCATTTGATGCGGTGCTTTCATTCTTTATATCTTCATGTTCGAAATAAATAAAACAAAGCACTTTTTGCGAAGAAATCCATAACGTGTATCTCCTATTTTGCTATTTAAGATAATTTACCTCTATATCACTGGTTTGAAATTTGAAAAGTACTATGACATATCAAATCTCAGACTGATTGTATACGATCATGGCCAAACGGAAAAATCATAATTATACTAATTGTACTACGACCTGTAGAGAGTAGTAAACTACGATGGTCAGAGCGAACCTTTTGAAGAGGTGGCTCAGAATCGAAGAATACAATTTTTAGGTCAATTCTGTAGTCTGTTTGCCTATACGGCAAACAGACTGTTTATCAATCATACCAAATACCCATCAAGAATATTCAAAAAATCTCTCAACATGTTTATACAACATTCCTCTGCATTAAAATCGGTATTATGTACTGTGCTAACGACTCACGACATAACCTCATTTTTTCTTATATTCTTTAGGTTTTCTCTGAAAGTACTACCATAGAATATATGTGCTTTTTGAAGGTAACCATATGACAAACTAACAATTTGATTCCATTTCCAGGTTTTTATGGAAGTTTTGATTTTCAAATTGTTCCGTAATATGTGTTATAGAGTCTTTCATTAAGCGCTTCCTATCTTTAAATTTAAATAAAGCATATATCTGCGACTTGAGAAAACCCCACAATAAAAAGTCGAACGGGGTCAAGTCGCACGATCTCGGTGGCCAGTTCACATCACCTCCACGTGAGAAGACCATGCTCTCAAATCGCTAGTGCAGAATATGCAATGTGACATGAGCTGTGTGGCACATAGCGCCGTCCTGTTGAAACCACTTGTCGTTGGTGTCCAGATCATCCAGAAAAAGGCCTCATCGCTGAAGATGATTTTTCGATGAAAATTAGGGTAGCTGCCAACTGCTTCAGAGCCTATTCAGCAAGACACGTCGTTATTTAGGGCAAGCACACACTAGACTTTTTATCGGCCGATAGTTTAGTTGGATGCTTATTAGTATAGAATCGTAATGTGAGTCCGCACAACTAAGCGATTCCAGTCGGCCGACTGAATAATCAGAAACAATTTGGATAGGCTTCCCAATTCTGATTCAATTACAAAGTTGGACAACTATCGGATGGGTTCTAATCAGACTGTACGTTTATGAGAATGCGCAGACTCACCAACTAAACAGTCGATGCCTGCAGACTCCCCACTCTACATTCCATTCTTGATATCAGATATCAAATATCATCTAGTACCTACTTTATCTTTGAATATGTTTGCGTTTTCATTAATTTTTTTTTTTCATAATTATGTCGAATATTGCAGAATATTCAGTAGAAAATTTAATTGCGGAATTGCTCATTCTATAGTAAGCGAAGAACTTTTTTGGATATTCCAGCAGCTTAGGATGGAACGTGTAGAACATTCCATGAACTAACCTATCACTTAAAATAGGTTGCACCCACCATTCACGGTTTCTTTCGCTTGTTTTCTTCATATTTCTTCTTCGTGCAATGATAATTGCAATAATAGCTTTCCTCGATAACATTCTTCAATACTTTCAATGCAACCCGTCAAAATATTATATACATCAACAACTGTTCAGACTTCAGTTGGTGGTCTGCGCACCCGCACCGAACCGAACAGTTTTGTTTGAGTAGTGTGCCCCCACCCAACCCAACCAGACTAAAGTTTCGGCCGATAAAAAATCTGTAGTGTGTGCTTGCCCTTATGGTCGTCTACCTTCAGTTCCTGGGTCAGCTGAATTTTGTACCGGTACAGGCCCAAGTCAAGACGCAAAATTCGCCAAGTTGTAGTCTGCGAGTTTTTGTGAACGATGCGAGATCGACTGCCTTGGATTCTACTGCACTCTCTCACAGACAGCGCCGATGTTTTTGATAGATCTTTCGTTTCGTCGACGTACGGGTGTTGGTTGATCGTTCACTGAACCAGCGGACTCAAATTTATCAACCATATTACGAATAGTACTTCGTAATGTGGTTGACGTAAAATGGGCTAGGCGCGCGGTACGTTGTCCGAACTTCTGTTCGGACCCATTTTGATAACCCATTTTGATAAAACGTGTTGTTGAATTCTATATCCGCCCATGGTGATTTGGCAAAACCGAGTGAATAAATGACAACTCATTTAAGAGATGTAGCTTCAACATGATGGCCCTTATTAGTTGTCAACGTTCGGAAGTCCCTATATATGTATTCACTATTTTCTGAATTCAAAGGAGTATTGCAAACGTTATTTCAAGTCAATTTTTTCATTATTTTATATTTCTCATTTCAAAGACTATAGACTCCTATACAACACGTCAAAATAACTCTTTCTATGTTTTTCACCACTTTTATTTGCAACTAACGTTACTGCAGCATCATCCTATGAGGACATTTTTAAACTTATACATTAATGTAACAATGGTTGATTACATTAGCCCTTGCATAGCACCCCTGTAGGTAATAATAGAGGTACTTGGCTTGATTGAGTACCTGAATTTTGTTACTAGTTACAATGGGATATGCTAATTTGAAAACCGGTGAGTAAACTGAATCGATTTTATCATTTAACAGGTTGCACCCCTACAATGTTTATGCTTGTGAATTTCCAAGGATTCTAAATAATTGAGTTTGCAACCCTTTCTTGTATAGTGCAAAATTTCCGTATCGTTTAGATTCGGAAACTTGTGGTTGCAAGCCAAGGAATGGTTTGGAAACGTCGAATCATTTTTTCCTAGTCTGAAGGACCTTTCATGTTCAGCATACCGTTTTTGGAAATTTTGACCACAATGTCCCACACAAACACTATTACACTCCGGACACTTAA